ACATCTCCATTAAAAAAAGAGCACCTACAAATGACAGAGATAAAGACAGTTTCTCTGATCTATTACATACGGACCAATACAGGCTGTACATTTTTCACTTCAGTGGACAATTTTAGGGGTCATCAGTAAAATGAACATAAAAAAATTCTTTTAGCTAACAGTACCCTTCAAAGAATTTGTTTAGCAGAAGAGAAATATTTTGTTACTTGCCTGGAACTGATCAATAGTTCAAATTTCAAGGCCAAAGGAAGGTGAAGGAAATTTGTGAATATTGATTAAGATTATGTAATATTGCTTAGGATTTGAAGCTTATGATTTAAAGTTACAATAATATTATAATTCAAGTACAGGCACAAGTGCAAATGAAGGTAGATACTTGTGAATGCAGAAATTAGTTTCAAAACTGCCATAAGACTCTTCTTGTCTTAGAAGAGGAACAATTTATACGGATGTTCCACACAATATAATTGACAATTCCAAATTGCACCATCTGTTATTCAAGAGTTTTAGCTATTAAATGGGATGTTTACACGGCGATAAAGATTTCTTCTGCTGAGAATTTTTTAGGTATACTTAATTAAACATGATTACTGGAGTAAGAAAGAGATTACCTCTCCCCACCCTCCCCCCCCCTCCAGCCTCTCTTCTCAACCAATACCCAAGTCAATGAATGCCTCAAAGACCAAACTCATACTAACCACTTAGTGACAAAAAAGGAGTTTTCTTCTACAATATCAAAACATTTTCAGAAGACACCCACATCCATACTGAGAAATGTTGTTCCATAAAACCCACAAGCAGACATTTAGGTTTCACTTTTTTTTTATAAATTTTCAATTTAACACTACATCTTTTGCTTGTAAAAAGTTTGTTTTGGCAAGGTAGTGTTGCTTCATCTTATAGCCAAAGCTAAGAGAGGTTTTCATTACTCACTCTGTTATGTTTTAGGGTTAACAATAGAGCACTGAATCTGTTACAGTTTTATGAATTAAGCAAGCAGTCTCCTAAGACTCCAAACTATTCCTGCTTAACTTTACCATCCAGAAGTGACCAAAATACAATTTCTCCTAACAGTGTCAATGAAATTTAAGGCAGAAAGGTAAAAAGAAGTGAAAAAAATTATAGCCAGGGGATGATCCTGGATTTATTGCCAAATTCTCACAACTAAACTTAAGAAAAATTTGTAACAAATGGGATGGAGAGTTGACAACCAGATCTCAGGAGTTGGGGGTTTATAAAGGCTATTTTTAGCTTCAGTTTGACTCTCCTTAATATGCACAAAAAACTATTTTCCAAAGCACTACGGTAAATAGTTTTTTGACTTTAAAATTTTTCTTATTTAGTTTTAAGTTCATGGAAAATAAATTCTGGGATGGGAAAATTTGAAACACATCTAATCTACATGCCTTTAATATTAGGGGTTTAGGAAATCGTCAGCCTCTCATAAACATTTTAATTGATAAATGCCTTGCAATAATTAATATTTAATATAGCATGTGAATATTTCTAGCCACTTCAATATTTAAGTGAATTCCTGAACAAGAACCTAACCAATTCTGGGATGGGGAAATTTGAAAAGCATCTAATATATATGGTTTTAATATTAGGGGTCTAGGAAATCATTTGTCTCTCATAAACATTTTAATTGATAAATGCTTAGCAATCATTAATATTTTATGTAGCAAGTGAATGTTCCTAATCACTTCAATATTTAAGTGAATTCCCGAACAAGAAAACTAACCAGTTAAAAATAGCTGGCATCGGTTTACTGAGAACAAGGCAAAAAAACAGTTAAACGGATGAGTGAATTTAACTTGTTTTAAATATTTTTTGCGATCATTACGAGGTATACATTACAAGCGAATCATTTGTTATGAGATTAATTCGTAACGTACACATTATTGTACGAGATTCACCTGTGTTTCAGGATCAGCAGATTAGTATTTTCGACCTTACTCCCCTTGTACTTACCAATGGACTTTGCCAAAAGGGAAAAAAACCTTACTTTCCACCTGGTTGATATAGTTCCAGAAGCTACGATCAACATACGTATATGGTGTGTTTACTTACAGAATTTACAATATGCGCCAACCGGCTGTTGTTGAGCAAACAGCCAGATGTGATACAAACTAGAATTATCCTTTGCTTGCAATTCAATCCTTAATATGGTGAAGAAACACTTAATAATTACTCACTTTTGCAGCGCACACATTGCTTGAAAAGTCCCCAAATAAACTCTCCACAACAATCGCACCATGTAGGATTTCGTAGTTGATGTTGAATAAACGTATGTCCTCTCCCGACATGTCTAACTAGCGCTTTCTCGTCGCTAACATTTTCCGTGGTCACAGATCGTTTTATGGTGCTTCGTTTCTTAGGTCCTTTCCTATTGACAAAGTTCGAGATGAAATCTTTCACTGGATTACTTGCAGTATGTTTCTCTCCGGGCATATGAGGTACAGATATGGCGCGATTTCTGTCCCGAACATCGTTCGCCATGTGAGATTTGATTTGAGCACGTTTTCTATCTAGAGAGTTGGGATCTCGAGGTTTCGTTGCTTCGTTCGAGAACACATCGTCACTTTCCATTTCAAAACCAGTTGATCGTGTTAACAAATAAAGCAAGGCAAACAAACCTCTTTCAAAAATGAGCAACAATCTCGAAGTTAACCACTCGAGGATTCTATTCTTGGGCAAATTACGATTGCCGTTCTGCAATTCAGTTCGCATAAGGGCCTATGATAAAACGACTCGAATGGAAGACTTGTTTACGGTTGTCACACACATCCTGAAACTGAAACCAGGCTTTCAGCTCGCTAACCGCCATATTCGTCTAGGGTGAAAGATGATCTCTTCTAGCCAAAGGGGTATGCGTCATTAAACAAATAACAAATCCAATTCTTTCTGGGTGGGGAGGCTAGGGACTCCCATAATTTTCGTGAAACAGTTTGGGAATTAAAACTTAGAACGTGAACTGAATCCTTTTTCTGAATATTTGTTGTTGTTGTTGTTTTTTAACAGAGTTTAGAGGGCCGAAAGCTAGCGGTGGAAGACTTTTATTTTCGAATGAAAATTAATTAAAATTGGTAACCCACTAGTAGAGAAAACTAAGGCCTACTGCGTGCGTAAAACCGCGGTTTGGATTCGACCTCGCGTAAGTAACCGGTCCGTGGTTTTCAAGAGGTAAATTTTGTGAAATATCCGTAAACTATGAATGGAAATTGATATATCGAGAACAGTTCTTCTAGAGAATTTCAGTTTGATAAATTTCGAAAAAAATTATGTAGATTTTAGTTGTGACATTTTGATTTCTCTTTTCCGAGAATTAGCGTTTCGATTGGCAAGGCAGCTAAGGCGAAACAAGTCATTTGCGAAAAATACTGAACTAAATGACGACGAAGGAAGACAAAATAAAAAAGAAAAAGAGAAAAAGAAAAGAAAAGAATGACAGGGTCGAGTTCGACTATCTTGGTCGGGCTGTGAGCAACCGCCTATTCACAGGTGCTATCCCACTACTGTTTGACGCGGGAGCTTTTGCCTGCTGTGTTTCCACCCTGGGCCGGTTCGCTCCTCTTTAACCAACCTGGAGAACTCAGATTCCTCTGTGTTCACCATATTGACGCCAAACTTAGCGCGGACACCCGATCTACATAGAACGACTACCCCCAGGAATCCCGCCCTCAAGCCATTCAGCGACCCCAGCCTCCAAGCAGCTGGATTACAGACGTGCGCCACTACGCCCGGCTGATGAAATGCGCTCAAATTTATGGTGTCAATGGTGGTGAGCCTCGACTGCCCGCCGGAAGTAAAAGTGCTCACTTGAAAATATTTTGCTTGCATTTATTCGCTAAATTCTCAATTTTAATCTGTGAAACAGAAAGATAACTTTAAATATGGAGTTAAATGATCATTTAAGTAAAAAAGTAATGGCGATAGTTAATTAAAATTTATCTTATTTGTTGGGCCCCTTTTCCGACGGAAGTCGAAGCTTCATAATCGATAAAATTAAAAAGTTGGATTGGACTCATAAAATGGACAAAGGAACAAATCTCGGCCGACTGTGACACTTCTCTTTCATGAAAGGCTGTCTGTCTGTTGAGCAAAGAGATTGATTGAGGAGGCCATGGTTGAGGAAAAGCCCTAGTTTACACATTTGCTTGCTGACTGTTTTCCAATTCCAAACGCTTCTAATGTAGTTTGCCGTTGAGTAAAAAAAAAAAAGGTAAAAATAATGAATGTCAACGATTTCTATTCAGGATAAAGCATCCATCATTTGCTTTAAAATAAAATTGAGCCCATGAACTCATTTAGATATTAGAATTGTGCTAGTTTGACGGTTTAGTTATAGTTAGCAGAGAGGATACGTCCAAACTTGCCAAAAAAAGATTTAAGGAAATAAAATAAATAAATAAATAACGCAAAGCGAACCGAGCATCTGAGATGCTTGAATTGGCTGAGCATAACTTAATTTCGATGTGAAGACGAACCTTTGGAACAAATTTTTTTAAACTAGATTGAATAACGCATTTGGTAACGTTGTAATAAGCAGAAAGTGTACGCCATCACAAGGCATGGAATACTCAGTCATTTCTGTCACACACTCAATAACCAAACACGCTCCCTTGAAAACTCTCCCTTTTAATTTAAAATCATTTAAGTCTTGATATTTCTAAAATATAAAATACTACGACAACGAGTAATGTTTTTTTTTCTTTTATTGGTTAAGCCTTTTGTTATCCAATAAAGGTGAAATGAACATGAAATCTAATTTCCTCTGATAATCCAATTAAACACTCTAATTGTACTTAGTTGGTTACAATTATGTTTACTAGTACTATCTATGAAAATCAATCACTGCTTTTTTCTAGCGAAATAATTCTGGAAATATTTTGCAATAAAATATTGTAACCCTTTGATACACACACACACATCAATAGACCTACCCTCCATACATTTCCTAAGATGCTAACCAGGAAAATTTGTGCAGAAATCAAGAGCTTTTTCATCTCCTTTATTCCCCGCTGTGCCCGAAAGATATTGTTTTAGTATTCTGACCGATTGGTCTTATTTCAAAGCCCTAAATCCTCGGTCTCACTGTAGGCTTCTCTGCAGGAATCCCCTGCACATGTCGCTAGATCCACCAGGCGAGAGTGTTTTTTTGCTAGAAATTTCGGAGCAACTTTTTTGACGATATTCGTCAGTTGATCAGGATCTTTCTTGATATCGTACAGCTCCACAAAGGCCTGCATTGGAATACACGAAAAACAACAACGTTTGAAAACTCCGAGAAAGAATCGAGAAGAGAAAGATAAAAAAGCCTGGAAAGCATTCAATAGGAAGAAATTCGCGCGGAAACACGCCACAGAACAGTGCGCAGGAAAACAAACAATCGGTGGAAAGCGCTGGAAATCGAAATCGTGAACCGAGCAACAGGTTTTAAGTTCTTGCATATAACTTCATGCCTAAACCTATAACAAGAAATAAAAATGGAGTGACTGCACACCCGTGTCGTTCCTAGTGTCCCTTAGACAAACCCATTGTAGTACGTGTTTATCTGTTCTTTGTTAAAGTTACCTCTTTGTCGTTAAACTCACAGTACATCATATCCTCCGACGAGCTTAGAGAACGGACACAAGAATACGTGTTGTTCCAGGCGTCTTCGCACACACAGTTGGGCCAACAACACTAAAGAAGAAAACAAAATGGAAAACATAAAGGGGGTATATAGAAGAATGATTGTTCCTTTTATTCCGTTCACCCCCCTCTCACCGAGCCTCTTCCCTCCTTTAGAGGCCTGGCTACGCAGGCTACGGCTTTCTGATCAATTATTCATATTGCATTGGTAGAATGAAGGAAACGCGTAATTGAAGCTCAAGATACATTCTAATAAACTCAGTAGTCGTATAGTTATAAAAGGCAACTGTTATTCTGCTTAACGTCAAACTTTTATGCCTCAAATTCTGTTGTATGCATCAAGGGCAATTACCTGCATAGACTTTCTTACTAGTATCTGGACACAGTCACCGTGGAAGGGAGACCATGAAAACTATAAGTGCCAATGAGGTGGGACCCTGAACCTACCGTGTAACTGTAACTGTAACTGAAATGTAGGACCGCTTGGCCGTGGAAGGTCAGGGTATGTGACTTAGACAGAGCTAATCTCGTATCCAGATCCTACTGTGTAACTGTAACTGTAACTATTACCACATGGCAGTAGAAGGTCTGGATACTAGACTTAACAGAGCCTTATGAAAGGAATCTGGCAAAATTAAAATTCTGCGACGAGTTACATACCGACACACCAGGAGAAAGCTGCGGACAGCCCCCAATCTTAAGATCTCCTTCACCAAAGTGTTGAACAAGAAAGTCCGTGCGCCAATTTGCGTTTCCCTGAATAGAAACAAAGTGCAACACTTTTCACAAATGGAAGCTAAACCATGAAGGAGAAATGGCAAAATTAATTTTCAGAGGGTGAATGAGAGAAGTAGATCGAAATTTGTCCAATTTGAGGGTTTTAAAGCGTCTTACTTTGTTAGCGAAACACCGATTTCTTACAAGGAAAAAAAACGTGCAATAAACGAAAGAGAACTAAAAATGGTGGTAAATAATTTTTTTTGACCCGGTTTGGAATTGCGAAAAGTGCGGTATAGATGTGTAAAACAGTGATTGTAATTTTTTGCTTTTAAAAAACTCACCCCTTTGTGGCTGCTCTCACCATCTGCCTTCTAAAATTGAAGAACAAAAGTGATTATCGACTTATCTTTTCGGCAAATAGACAAACAGAATTTTTACCAAGCTACTTGTAACTTAAACTGAACTGCTAGTAGAACAACACAGAAAGAGTAATAGAAATATACAAACTACTTGAAGGTCTGTTACAAGTTAAAATTTTCAACAAGAGTTACACTGTGCCCAACAGGTAACCCTCTGTATAAAATTACTATACGCTGTCTGCTTAGAACAGCATCGACTGCGACGAAACGCCAAGCTATGAAAACGTTTGGAGTTAAAAGCTGAGATTAAATAACAAAAAAAGGAAATATCCCTTGCTAAAAAGGCTTAGTGGATCAGACTGTGCCATGCTGTAGGAAAACAGGATGCCCTAAGGAATTCTTCCTTCCACAAAAATATTTTCCATTTGATTTTGCGCCCAGAATTTTCGGTTCAATGGAAAGCGCGCTTCCGTAGAACCGCATTTCGGTTTTCAACACGACTGACCATGTTACGTGTATAATTAAGTTCGTTGAAACGTTTTTCTTTCGGCAAACGCTACTGCAGGCAAGTTTTAGCTGAACTATCCTTAAGCAATAATAACGCACCAAGAGAGGGAGAATCGATCGTCCGTCCATGGACTCAGGGGCTTTCCCGCCAGCTAGCTCCACAATAGTCGGTGCTATGTCAATATTGAGAATAGGACTCTGCAAAATGTAAAACAAAATCGGTGAACGCTTAGTTTTAATAATTCCAGAGGGCTACACGATCTTCTTCATAGTAACTATGTCACTGCTCTGCTTGCCAAGAAGAAAACATAAAAACTAAAATATTGACGACAAATTCAATATTTCTTTGTATTTTAGGGCCACGCCCACATTGTGAGACTCTGATAACTATAAGGGGGTGAGTTTCTAACGAAACTGTGGCCCATCCAGCTTGATTGTATCTCTGTTTCCTTCGCATGGAGGGACTAGTAGTATTACCACCCCCACCTGGATGGGATGCCAGTCCATCGCGAGGTTACTCCCCAGCATTTCATCAGGCTTCCCTGACAATTCACTAGTAGCCTGGTTAACATATTTACCCGGCTAAGTCTCGAACCCAGACCTCTCGGCCCTGAGTCCAGCGCACTTCGTATGTCATCAGGTCACCGTGGATGTGATCGGAGACCGACCACTAACAGCTAAACTTAACGTCTCTCGTCCGAACAGTCACTCTACTCGATCAACGGATTTTTTTCGGTAAGAACCACCATTACGTTTCTTCGGGAAACATTTCACCGCCGGTATCACTTCTTTTAAAGGACGCAATGATCGTAACCGCACAATATTCTAAGAATGACATTTTCACCTGTGATGTTTTGTTAGTCATCACTCCAGGACCACGGATCATGAAGGGAACGCGTACATCAAATTCGTACAGCTGCCGCTTGTCTTGTGGAAGAGAAAACTGACCTAAACAAGCAAATGGTGTGCAGTTATGACTAGTGCTTTGTTAAACACGGTTTTCTTCTAAGAAGTTGCTTACACTGATGCTTACACTGACTGACTGCTTACACTGACTGACTGCTTACACTGACTGATTGCTTACACTGACTGACCGCTTACACTGACTGACTGCTTACACTGACTGCTTACACTGACTGCTTACACTGACTGCTTACACTGACTGCTAACACTGAAAATGTAAGTAACTGATAAATTGAGTCCATTATAAACCTCCTTTTTTCCAGTTTTCTGTGGCTAAATTTAATTCAGGTGAACATGTTTTAACTAATCATGCTTTGCTGGTGTGATTGCAGCATCAGATGATTACACTTTCCCACACAAGAAATAGTCACTTGTGGGTAATAACTCTTTGAATTTTGTTATGTGTATCGTCATATTTACCCAGATGAAATCCATTATCTGATGAAAATATGATATAAGTATTCTCCAAGTGTTTCCCCTTGTCCAATGCCTGAACGACTTGGTCAACAAGATCATCCACTGATAACAAAGTACGCCACCTTAAAACACAATGTTAGAATGGATCAGTTGATACAAAGCAGCAAACTTTCTTTTTCATATTCTGAGATTTCTCTATCCTTAGGGTCAACTTAAAATACACACATCTTGTCTACTTCTATAAGATGTGCAGTACCAAGAAATTCTTATTTGGGGGGATGTAATTAAATTTTTACAAACCTGTTTCTGAAGATAGAATCTGAGGCATTGATGGATGAATCCTTCATTGGATGTGGAGTGTTTCTGATCAGCCAGTGCTTGGTCTTAAAATGACGACAAGAAAAAGGAATATAAAAATTATTGCAGGTGTGCAAATTTAGGGAAGCCTGCATTTCAGTGTCTTAATGTAATAGCTTGTTGTACAATGTACTGTGTGAGCTGGGTCTGTGAGCAGATGACATGACACATATTCCATGTGTCTGTTCCAACTGCTTCACTGAGTCAGCAAGGTAATCTCTTGTGTTGCCTGCTTGGGACTGCCTGCTATGATTCTGAAGAGATAAATTGCTTGTACAAGTAATTCTGGTTGGTGTGTGCAACAGGTCTGCTTTGTAACATATCTGAAAAATATCCTCTGGTAGTTTTCAAATGAAATGGGTACATTTTGAAAGCAGCATAACAAATACAATAAAGACAAGTAAAGGATATGAATCTATTTTGAAACCCTTGGGTATAATATTTTTGCCATATTACAGAGTAAGTTTCAATAAAATGTCCAAGGTAATCTGAGATTGCTTTTGATTTGTTTCCCTTTACTTTGCTCTGTGATTTGTTGGGAAAACTTGTGCCAGTATCAACCTCAACCAATCAGATTTTAAATTAAAACTAATTGTGACTTGGTCACTCAGGTGTTCCCATGTGATATTATTCTTTGCTTCGATTGGCTGTTATTATTAGCTTGGTTTTCAATTTACCACATGTAATTATGATGCCCTCATAATCCTTTATGGTCAATATATTGCAATGCAGTCTTAATTTTGGATGATCAAGATAGCTGGAAATTGGCTTCTTTATCTTCTCTTTATCAAGACCTTTGACTTTTTCTCAGTCCTTAAAAAGAAAGCTTGGTCATTACCTCTTGAAAATTATGTGAACAAATGAACATGGCTCTACTTACAGGTCCACCTGCTGTGTTAAAGCTCTTTGTCCTTGGCGCCTTACTTGTATTAAAATTATCCTTGTACTGAGGTGCAGGTGTGAAAGGGGCATGGCAGGCAGGGGTGGCAACCATCATAAAGAAAGGGGGTGATGCTTCTGACTGCTCATTTATGAAACTGACTGCATGTTCTTTCTGAGAAGAAGAAACATCAATTTTGAAAGATGAAATACCACTTTGGATATTCTCAGTAATGATCTCTATACATTTCCAAAGGTGCTGATAAGGAGAATTTGTTTAACAATCAAGAACTTCTTTAGTCGGTGATCATTTCCCTTATTCTCCTGACATTGTGATCAAGGAGTGATATTGTAAGGATAACTTAGACGCTTGTCACTCTTAAGAGTTAAATAGTTCATACATATTGATGTTGAAGCTAAGCTTACAAAGAATTATTGTTTTAAAAAATCAAGTAATTTAACAGGCTTCTTCATATTCAACCAAGTGATTGTTATGGTAGTAAACTTCAACATATAATTTTACCTCAGTAGTCTCATGTAATTTAATGCTGTTTGTTTTAAGCTTACCAAAATATCTGTGAGGTAGTCAGAGGCATAAGTATCTCCGTGTTTCTCTGGATTCCCATTCACTGACAATGTATAGTTGTAGTACCTGGAGTTACCTACAAGTCCAACCCATTCATCCCAACCTGGGGGAACATGTTCAGGCCCCCCTACTTGCGGCATCCCGTATTGATTCAGGTACTTCCCACCGAAGAATGTTCGATAACCGAGCTTTTTCACGTAGGTGCTGACTGAGTGCTTCTCTGGCCCCTGTTGCCATCCAGGACTTGAACAACCTCCTGATATGGAGTTGTTTCTGGCGCGATGATTGTGTATATACTGTCCAGTCAGAATACTTGATCGACTCGGACAACAGAGAGGACTTGTCACAAACTGCCGGCAAAAGAAAAAGATGTTAACCTCTTGCACCTTGACCCTTTAACTCCCAAGAGTGACCAAGACAGAATTTCTCCTTCAATACAATATCAATCAGATAAGTGATGAGAATAAAGAAAAATATAAATTTGGGAATAATTAGTTGATCCAAAACTAAATTCTCAGAACTAACATTATAAGAATTGTGTAGTTGACAGTAAGGAGAATCACAAATTTGATCTGGGAGTTAAAGGGTTTAGATCAGTAAGCTTATTCTCTACTCTGTTTGCAACACATTTCCTAATGTGCTAACAAGGAGAATTTGTTTAGCAATCAATAGCTTCTTTCATCAGCAATTATTTTCTTTTCTCTTGTGATCTTAATGTTTGATTCTGTGGTGATATTGTAAGGAAGCTGAAAGGATTAAACATAAACCAAAAACAAGGGCAAAATAAGAAATTGTGTCATTTCTGAGGCTTCAAACCTTAACAGTTCTCATTGTTGTGGTTGGATGCTCTGCTGACTTTGCCACCAAGAACTTATTGGCAGGTGGAAATCAGCTGTCACATCATCATTCAAAAAAAAAAAAAACTACTTAGGTCTCACTGTATGGAAGTGTAGAAGTAACTTACCATGTTGTCAAATTTTACACCATGCTGACCGATCAGCATCTCAGCTTTCTTCAAAGGAGTCTATCAAAGTGGTACAAATAAAAAATGCTCAAAAGAGAATTTCTCCTTACAATATTGTTACAGTATCAAGCAGACTAGTGATGAGAATGAACAGAAGTATCAATTAGGGGATTAACAGTTGATCCAACAGCAAATTCTCTGAACTTTCATCACGCGAATTTTATGGTAGACAGTAAGGAGAATTACTAATGAGATCTTGAAAGTGAAAGAATTCAGATCGATAGCCCCACCATAAATGTCACATGAGAATTTAACGGCTAAAGTTTATAACTGTGAAAATTGGTTGAATTTTGAAAATATTTACACAGCTCACTTATACCTGTAAGAAGTAGGTCAATTTTAAAAGAACAGAGTGGAATATTAAACGGCGATGATTTTGATTCGGGTTGATCGTCTACAATCACGGAAAGAACTAGAGGGCTTATTCTTTTTTTCAGTTGTAACAGAAATAGATATTTACATTCCTTCGATCGTCGTCGATCATATCGAATCAAAACTGAAGTGCTGGAATAAGCTGCGATTTCTAAATGAATGCTACTTACAAGTCCTCCTAGCACAACATCTTGATCATCTGTAAGGATAAACACGATGTTTGGTTTACTCGTCGAACTAGTACTAGCGATGGAACAGCCGGAACATAGCACGAGAAACAGTAAAATAGGATTCTGCCTCAGGGCCATTTTGATTTAAAACCAAGACTAAGAGATCTCTGGTCTGCTAACGTCTCTGAAAAATTGATCCTTTTCTTGACGGATTCATGTGAACGTCTCGTGAGCCACCTCAACTTTTGTTGTCTTTTTGACCCGGCTCACATTTCTGCGCGAGGGACTGTTGCAGAGTTGAAGCTAACGCAATCAAAGTCACGCTTGGTATAGTCACACAGCAATCATTTTTGCTCACTCGCGCGAGGAAAAGGCGCCATCGAATTTGAAAACACTAGCTTTTTGTGAGAAGAAAATTAGAAAAAAAATTTGCTGTGTTGTATCATGTCTGCTCACTGACCGAAGTATTTTTCTCCAGGGCTCTACTTCCACGAAGAGTCACGCTGATCGGAGCGTTTTACAATATTTTAGCATTATTTTAGCGTTATTTTAGCATACGCCGTTTCTTAGGAACCTTCCTTGCCTCGACAAGTATGAAAAGTATATAATGGGTGATGTGCATTGATATGCCTTGTAATGAGCTAAAGCCTTCGAAGCTTGAGTAAGTATAGAGGTTTCAAATCAACTTGGGGTTGCGTTTCTGCAAGAGAAAATATCTCTTTAAGAGAAGAACATGGGACAAACAGGGCGTTCGGCAGGTTACTTCAATTTTACTTGTATTTTTTTATCTGGGGGCGAAAAAAAAGACCCGCGATCGAAGAAAAATCCTTACGAAATTTAAACACGCAACGGAAGAAAAAATCGTTCTTCTTCTCTTGCTTCCACCTGTCTACACTGATGTGTTTTCATTTGAAAATGGATGCATTTTAATGCATTCAGTTTTCGTCCATCGTCCACACTTCAACGCCCGAAAGCGCCGATGGAAGCGACAGTACGAGACGTTTTCGAGAGTTCCAATGTTCATCAACCTCTTTTGAGCAATTTTGAGTGAATTTTTGGCAAAAATGTGTCAGAGAAGTGAGCGTTTGCGAACAAAAATGCAATAGTATAATTAAGCTCGATCAGGAGGTAGCTATACCAATCCTCACTTATCTCCTGTAACGCGCGGCAGGATAGCACCAGGAGTCTGGAAGTGAGTGATCAGTCTGACATTAAATAGGCAAGAGATTGGGCTCCCCCTTAAAGAGGGTGGAATATCCTAGACTCAGTGATCTACGATTAATTTCCAGCAGAATAATATATTTTAGTAATCAAATCGATTGCAAAACCAGCTTTGTTAACAAACCCGAATCGCTTGGACCCATTGTTCAAACTTTCTCTCAAACAGCACTTTGAGACAGTCCGTCCAAACAACTCTCTGATATTCATAAAATCGTTTTATTTGCACTAGCAATCGCTGGGCTTAAAGACGAGTGGAACGAATCCAGATCGTTACAGAAGATTTATCTTTTCTAGTGTGTGACAAAATAAAAACAGCGATTTATAAATCTTGTTTGTTTAAGTGTTAACTTATTTCCTTCGACTGCAAATAGTTGCCAAAGATTCTTTTTGTCCAATTTCTATCTCCGTCAAAGAGTCTTGACTTCCAGCGTTCTGTAAATTCACGGGACTTTCCTCTATCGATTGTAGACTACTTTCGACTCCATTTGCACCCCCGCTTATGACGTCAGGCCACTCCAAGGAGTTTGGATCGTATGGCTCAATTCCATGTTCAACTTTATCTGCGCCTAATAATTCATCTTCTTCGCTCATGCGCATTCCCACCAACAGATTGACCAATAGCAGCTGCAAGTAGGTAGTGGTGGCAGCCCATGCAGTCATGGTAAGTGACATAAGCAGCTGAACTCCCAAGAACTTCCAAGGACCACCTTTGAAAATTCCAAACTCGCCGGAAAATGTATTTTCCAAGACGTCCTTCTCGGTAAAGAAGGCGACGGCGACTAGGCCCCAGATTCCTGCGAAAGCATGTGTCGGTACGCAGCCGACAGGATCATCGATTTTGAGCCGCTCGAGAAGATCACATCCAGGACATGCCAACATGGCGCCTATTGCACCAATCAGTAGAGCCTCCCAAGGGCGGGCAAGAGAACAGATGGCTGAGCAGAGAAGAAAAGAAAAAAGAATTGATTGGTTCATCAATCTTCATCGTTAAAAAAAATTAATGTCTGTTTGAAGCTTAAAGGTAAAATTTGAAAAAAAAACACTGACTCAGCCACTGACTCAGCCTCCAGGACACGATTGTTTTTCGTTTTTCAGGCGCGCGGTGGCAAGTGCGAGGCATCTTGAGTTCAACCGGCCACGTATTTATAATTACCCATTCCATTTCACACATCTTTGAGTACTGCTTAAGGTATACTCTGCTATTTAATCGTAATGGGATTTCCGAAATGTACAACTGATTTCACGTTTTACCTGTTATACTGACGAGTCCCGACAAAATCCCGGTAACAAAGATTGATATGTTTAGCTTCTTTTCACGGAAAACGTAGCTGAAGGAAAAACCAGACAATCTACATGTGAGACGTCTAGTGCAAAGAAAAAACTTCATACAGAGATCATAACACCATTTCTGTATAATTACCTGTAGACCATTCCCAGAATTCCTCCGCCTATCGAGCCATTGATGGTGACGACCGCTGACCTGGAAAAGGAGAGAGATGAATCGAAAGTTACCGTAGTAACTATGAGGCGTCTATAGGAGATTTTTCCCCTGATATCCTCCATTATTCAAGACAACCAACTAGCATATATCAAGAATTTCTTTTGAGTATTTCTTCCAAGCAATGATTAGCAAATTATGTTTAGAAAAATCACGCGTCACGCGCGCTAAAAACAGTATTTCACGCTTCACGCATTTGAAGGGAAAACTTCGAATCTCCCCTTAACTTGCCTTTCTGTAAAATTCTCGCGTCACGTCTTCCCACGCTCTAATGCTCACAAATTCATTATCAGCTCTGTGTCGCCATTTTGCAAGCAGAACTTCCGTGGGGTAGCTCTTCATTTAACACTCACTAATAAATGGTTTTGAAAACTCGGCTTCTCTTTAAACTTTTACAACTTACTACTAACATTAAAATAAATTGGCAAATGGCACTTGAATAAATCTAACTTAATCCAGCATTCAGACCCTCAACTTTGTGACAAAGAAAATTTTTTTTACCTCGACGCAAGCTTCCATTTCATTCCACTTATTCCAAATGTGCTACCACAATTGAAACCCAACCACCCCCACCATAACATGAAAGTTCCCAGGAGAACATTTGTCGGGGAAGTCATCTGTTGCGGTGGAGAATTTTCATCAAATCTTCCTATGCGAGGCTTTAACATCATGGTCGCTACCAATCCACTTACTCCTCCAACTAAGTGGACAGCTCCGCAGCCGGCGATGTCGACTGCCCCCATTTTGGCAAGCCAGCCATTTTCAGCCCAAATCCAGTGAGCGGGTACGCTATATGTTAGAGTGTTGATAAACGAATAAACCGTATATGCTTTTAAGCATGTTCTCTCCGCCATTGCACCCGAGACAATCGTAGTCGCTGTCGTTGCGAACGAAAGCTGAAAAAAGTACTTTGAGAACACTTGCCCCATTTCATGGTCATCAGCGTCCGTGAAAAAATATCCAACACCGAAGAAACCATTCCCAGCCGTGTTGCTTCCGAAACTGAGTGCGAATCCAAAAAGCCAATAGGACAATCCACCATAGATGACATCAACTGCGTTCTTGACCATGATATTAGCTTCGTTTTTTTTGGACACCATGCCGGATTCAAGGAGACCGAAGCCAGACTGCATCGTGAAAATAATGAAAGCGCTGGTTAGAATCCATGTTGCGTCATCGGAGCCTACAAGTTCTCCTTCGTTTACGATGTTTGCCACCGGCGGCGTTGTGGAATTAAATGAAGATCCGTTCGAATGATTCATCATGTTCGTTTATTTTCCTCCTGAGTAAAAATAAAAAACAACAACAGAGCTGAGTCTAAGCAAACGACAACATTAACAACTAGTCTATGTACTTACCTTTGAAAATGAAAAAAAGCAGTTCCGCAGTGCGTAATAATGTAAATGTCATAATTTACCAGCAACCGAGAGAATATACTTGCGCTGCCCACAGCTTTTGTTGTCAGGTGACAAAAAAATCAAAAACTTATTTTCATAATACACTACTTTTGGTTAATTGGATAAAACAGCGCTAGCGTACTGCGAGAACATACCCTGATAGGTATTCAGATGGGCATTCAGTCCGATCGGCTTCGATGAAATACATTATTTAGGTCGCACTTAAATTGTCTTGAGTTCACTAACATCTTCATTTGCATAGGTAAAATGAATAAGAATCTTAAGGATTTTCTCGCAATAATTGATTTCTCTGTTTTATCATTCAGAAGACACCTGGATCAGAACCTTAACAAGCAGAATTCATAGAATTCTTTCGAAAGCATGTGGGAGAACACTCAACGGGGATTTTCACAAATTACTGGGGCAAAAGTTTTTTCAACGTAAGTCGTATTGTGTGTAAACTGCGAAATTCATGCAGATTATGGTAGGCCGTGAAAGCGCTAAAGAGATGTCTACAAGTAACTTCTCAGCGCTAATGAATATCATTAAAATCATCCTGTCACTGTTTACGATAACAGATGCTAATCTTGTGACGGAAGACGGCGATTCAACGGAAATTTGCGGATCACTTTTAATCTTAATGTCTCGTTTATTTTAATGCTACAATCTTTTACGTGAAAGATCATCGTTAAATACTGATGGAAGAAGAAGAGATCTTAACAGAGCAGGAAAATATTAGACAAGTTTATAACACAAAGAAAACTGACATCATTGCAAAAAAAGGAAGGGGCATCATCAGGTGCCACAAAGGGAAAATAAAAAAACTTCTACCAGGAACGTGATCATAATTACCTTCAAATTATTAATTCGAATCGGTCACATACATCCGCATTTTAATTACTTCTCGCAGTATATTGAAAATATAATTGTATGATAAAACCAGTAAAAAATAAACACTAGAACGTTCTCGCATCAGAATTTTTACCCGGACCGGGTTTGGAGACAAGCGGAAATTGGCAAAAACATCATAGTTTATTAAAACGCGTTAGATTGACAAACTGACCATCCATTTCCTTATCAGTTTAAAACCTTGCTCTTCCGTCGCTAAAGAGAAATTTAACACTTAATGCTCGAAATTCAGTCCCTTTCGTGTAGCTAGCAGATGCAACTAAAATTTCCTCTATTAACTCTAAATTTGCATTTTTTTTGTCCTACCTCAAGAGACAATGAACACGATTTTAAATACTTGTAGTTTATTGATGAATCCGTCATAATGCCGTTGACTCGACAATATTTCTGGCGCCTTGAAATTCGAAGTTTATTAGGAATTTCGGTACAATCAATTCTGAAGGATTAAACACCGTAATTGTACTTTTGAATTCAAATGACGGTTCAGTTTTTTTAATAAACACGGGAAAAAGATTGAAAGGTCACTTTTGCAAATACCTTTCAAACATTTACGAAATAATGCCTTCAGTCCGCTTTAAACGTTTTAAATTCGTTGCTATTCTTTTTCAAACAGAGCCGTGCGTTCAAATTTTTTTAGCTCCAAAGTTTCGCCGAAAAATCATATTTTTCATCGAAATTTTTTTTCTTCTGTTTGTGTCTTAGACTTACGACCACTCAAGGATATTATCTACACAACTAAGTATTGTCAAATTAATTAATTTTCTCCATCGAAGGCGGCTAACTGCAATGAAATCGGACCAGCTTTACAAAACTTCTTACAACGGTTCATCCGCCTTCGTGAACTTGTTCTTGATCCTCTACAGAAGAGGTCTTAAACTAACGTTCTTCATCCGCCAATCGTGAAAACCCCAGGTTCCATGAGAGTGGTTTGCCAATTTTGGCCGGACATACGTCTCTGAAATGCCCAATGTCGTATTAGCAGAGACCAATTTTTTGAGAAGTTTATCTCTTGATTGCAAAGTACCCCACCGTATATAAATGCACAATTTGTTTTTCTGAATGTTATTTCGCACAATTACAGCTTTCTACGAACCCCTGTGCGCTGTTTCGAACAAAAACTGATGATGAACTGGTGATGGTTTTCGCCAAAAATTGGTTTTTAATTTGCTTCAACAATACGGCATTCAGTAAGTCTTTTGGCTGTCTCTCAATGCTCTCCAGTAACAATAAACACACAGTAATTACTACTTAAAAACTGGAAAGAGAAAGTTATAAGCGATAAGCATCTCGCTTATCGTTGTTTTTCAAATTATGCAGATTTAATGCATCTCATGAATGTTGACAAGTTTATGTAGGTCGATTTTGGTTCTCTACATTATCTTAGTCCAAGCCTATTCCAGTTGGAAAAAAAGAGTCTGACATGAAATGAAAAACAAGCGAAAAAAGGATAGTTAAAAGAAGGAATAAGGAGAAAACACTACACCACGAAGAGAGGTTTTACTCAAAAAACATCAACATTCATTATTTCATGAAGACAATTTCAAACATGGACTTTATCCTTTTCTGCAAATTACTATTTCTTCAGGCAAATTCAAAACATTTTTAATAAATTTGTGTAGTTCACGTTGGCTTAAGTTACTGAAAAATTTTGATACTTTAACCAAAAGCAAAATAACCTTTGTATATCTTTAATGAAATCGCTTGGTTTCAGGAGCGGCTAGGTGAAAATGGAAAATCGTCCTGCCTTACTTTAATCAAATTTGGAAAATTTGTTTACCGCAATGGCAACAATATCGCTTAGTAATGTGGCACGAATTTTAAATCTCAGAGAAAGGAGTGGCTTAAAACCTCGTTACCTCTTTAAGTTTTACTAAAAAAGTTGTATCCCAATAGATTCCAGTGGTTCTAAATTAAATATTTCGTGATTTCAATTGAACGAAGTTAAACTTCCCTGTGGTCTCTCACGAATCCGTTCTATAATTCACGGCCAAGCAGGTAGCTTATACCAAACAACTATTTTTTTTCATTCCAAAAGCATAAAAGCGAAATAAAATAAGGCAAATTGAAATAAAGACTTACCAAAAATGGTATTTCTGTTTTCTATTCTGAGCAAGCTTTTGTCGTCTTTAGTAAATGAAATAATTGAATAAGCAGTTGACACAGGCGGTATTCGGGGGCCGGAAAACTTGTCGACAAGTCATTGCAACTGCCTAGAGCCACGGAAACATACGTAAATCATTTACCGATAAATTAAACATAATTTTATGTAGAATTGCATAAGGTAAATACGAAGGCTCATTGGAAGATGAATTTTTTCAGACTTTCTCTTGAAAATGGTTCAGTATTTACTAAGGTCATTGAAATTATTCCAGCGGAAATTTTTCTTCGGTTTTCAAGTATTTTTTCTAAATCGCTCCATCGGTATAAACCTTAAAGAAAATATTTACTGTTGGTTAATGCAAAATCATGAGACGGAATATGATTCGATCACCTGCCATGAAAACAGGAACAGTACAGAATAATGATTGACATACCACCTGTGTGGTATCCATGACAACTAACTGTTTTGAGCGGGGCGCTTGGGAAAAGGACAAAAGACGAGGGAGTGAGTGAGGAAATGAAAAATGGCTTCGTCATCTAATGCTATGATCGCTGTTTTAGAACTGAGACAAAAAGTGCTGAAAATTGAAAAAAAAAAAATTAATATAATCTTAAAAGGAAAAAGCCTATGTTGTGTCTCTTTCAAATTAGTAATTTCATATAACACTTACTTGACTGACAAACATCTCACATATTTTCCAAATATTTTAATTTCAAATTTGCAGTCCTCATTTATTTCTAAAAGGTTTCTTTGACAGAGCACAAGACGGAGATCCCGCATTAAACAAAATCCACAGTTTACTCATCACGAACGAAATTTTGTTGACTAAAAAGATAAACAATATTTTGGTGAATCTCTACAACGATCTCGGTTACTTCCTTTATCATTTAATTCATTTGCAAAAATAAGGAAAATTTAAGCCCAAAAATGTCGTATTTTCTTCCATGAGAGGGATGCCATTTTGTATGTATCTTCATGCAGTTTTCGCTTTTCCCTTACCTTGTAAGCGGAAGGATCCTGAATTCTTTCTCGGCGCTGAGCAAATAAGATACTGGGTGATACGTTTGGAGTATGACACTTGCTGATTGGTTCAAATCTTTCCTAGTAAAAACCACAGATCGTATAATTACTATATTTTTATCGGTATCTATTTACAATATTCCGTCTGAAACAGAATAATAAAGCTTCCCATTTAGGGCTTGTCAACTTTTTACAGGCTTCATTCTTAATTATATGGATTCAAAACTTCAGTTTTACAATCACAAATTTGTTCCTGTGGCGGACTATATTTTCTGGTGGAATGTTTGTTTATTCGGGTTAGCAGTTTAAAATCGAACGTGTTTCCTTTTAGTCAACTCATGGAATGATAACAGACTGAAATGTATGAAAACAGCGTGGAAACGAAGTGTTAACAATTTTCAATCAACCTTCTGATTCCTTAAACTTAATTGATGAAGGGATTCTTGCTAACCATCAAATATTCAGTGTCTCTTTGTTAACTTAACAGTCTTAACAGTCAGAAACAAAACAAAAAAAAAAACTAAAACCAATCATCAATAAAAAATGTCTACTGCACCAGTGAGAGCTCTAAGATAAAATTGGGTGGGCGAGTCAAGGTTTCCGTTTCAGTTTTGCATCTGGTCGTAAGCGTAATGAAGAAAACCCGACGCAATCTCAGATTAATTTCGACAATGGGATGAAAATCTTCTTCTCGTCTTGTAATGGATTCAACAGCGAGTTGAAACAAAGCAGTCACTTTTCTGATGAGCTAAACCAACCGCAGTTTAAGAGAACGCAATCAAACTAATTGAAAGAGACATACATATATATATATATATATATATTTTTTTTTTTTTGTTGGGAGGGGAGGAAGGAATAAAACACTTTAAAAATTAGACTTGAAGATAAAAAAAAAAAGATGATAATTTAGTCCGTGTGAGGCTTGAACTCACGGCCTCAGCGTCATTAGCACCACGCTCTGCCGATCGACTGGCCCAACGGACCCTAGCTAGGAAGACATTTGAGGAAAAAAAGAACTAATTGGTGACCCAAAAGATTTTCCAGGAGAAAGTTCAAATGTGGGTTTAAATAATAATACTAAAAGCAAACGGGAAACACCAAATACGCATTTATTTCAGTAGACAGACTTATAAAGGACACATTTACCTACAAACGGAGCAAGAGAGAGTCCGACTAACGAGATTAATCTTTAGCCGCCTAAAATGAAAGATTTTTGCCCACATTCGTCAATAAAGCCTGCTATTGCTAGTCATCAAATCTCTCAGATATTCCTTCGTAAGAAGTGATTTGGAGTTAAGGTAAATTTATTTTAGTTGACATTTCGGCCACAGGACGGGAGCAGTCGTAGCTTCCTCCTGGAAACTGAACCGATGTCGCAAAGCGTTATTCGTGTATTTTTAAATGGTATCATCACATTAATTTCAGACTGTTACACATTTTTGGGTCACTTAGCTGCCGCAGATAACCAGGCACCGAGAAAAAAAATTCCTTTACAAGACCTTACAATAACAACTTTGGGAAAGCTAACAGTCTAAGCCATTACTTGACTTTTCTCCGAAGTTGAATGAAGCAAACTTCTTTGATTGAGTGAATCTGCGTTTTATGAAGAGATACTAAAAAAAAAAATTCGTTTGTAAAATACAAATAGAGAAACAGAAAAATTAAAAGTGGAGAATCCGGGCATCGATCCCGGTACCTCCCGCATGCAAAGCGGGCGCTCTACCATTTGAGCTAATTCCCCCGCCACAGCAATGAAGCGAATTACTAGAGAGCAGAATTATGGCTGGTGACTTGGAGGCGGTCGGCGAGTGCCGTGAAAATGAGCCGCACAGAGCCTGCAGAGCAGGCTTTATTCCGGCGATCGAATACTCAGTATTTTCTTGCTGAAAATTGTACTTGCTGCATTTGATTTTACAGCAGTGGAAGGCTGGGGAAAGAAAGAAATCGAGTGTAAACTCATCGGTTAAAGACACCGCTTGACACATGAAACTCTAAAGTAAAAATATCTCCATTGCATTTTGGTGGCAACGATGGAAGGCCGTTACGCACCAAAAAAGCCCATCGCGTGCTAAAGAAAAACATACAAGAAAAGATACAAAAAATAAACCTGAAGAGTTTGAAGAGCAAGATTCATGAGGAGATTTCAAAACGGGGGAGGACGGAAGGGGATACTAGCTAGACTTAAAAGGGTTAAAATCGGTTATCGTATTGATTAGTTGCAAGGATGAGAGAAGACGCAAAGGAAGGTGGTTCGTTAAAATATTACTAAAGAATGAAGCAGTGCGTGCACCTGGTACAGTCGAGGAAATTGTAATTATCAAAAATTGAATACTTGCATTTTCAAAATATTCTTAGGTCTGGAGAATCCGGGTATCGATCCCGGTACCTCTCGCATGCTAAGCGAGCGCTCTACCATTTGAGCTAATTCCCCTGCCTACTACCTGTGGGAAATAAAATCCAAGAATATTTCGTTAAGTTTCTTAGGAGCGACTGACTTATTTCTCTATATGCCAGAAGTATACGCTTCCAACAAATTTTCAGAAGTATACGCTATCCAGGTGATTCTTGGTCGTTTTTCTGAGAGAAACTCATAAACTCCGTGAACACAATTTTGAGTTCTTTTGTTTTGTTTTTCATGGTACCTGGCCTTTTGCCAAAGATACTGGTGCTTTTTTTAATGCCACCTGATGTAGAATTGCTTTTCCGTGCGTGAATCTTGAATCTTGAATCCATGAATCTTGCTCTTCAAACTCTTCAGGTTTATTTTTTGTATCTTTTCTTGTATGTTTTTCTTTAGCACTTGATTGAATGTCTTTCTTGTAAACAGACGCATCTGACGAGGAAAGAGTGTAACATATCAGGTCTGTTAGCTCAATCGTCAGAGCGTGGTGCTGATAACACCAAGGTCGTGAGTTCGACCCTCACACGGACCAACATTTGTTTATTTTTTTCAATGGGTATCAATATAACCATTATCATCCTTGCTTGATTTAACCAATAATCGCGGACTTTTCACAAGTCCGCATAGCTTGGTGTAAACACGAGGAGGATTAGAAACATTTGAGAAAGTTATGCAAGCTCGACACTTAAATTAGGGAGAAATGTAACTGCGAGTCTTTTGCAAAGGAAATCTCAAAACTAGCGTGCAAGCAGTCCCTCTTTACCCGCGCTTAAGTAACAAGTATTCCTTCGCCTGCAAGTGAGTTTGAGGCCTTAAGTAACACTAGCCTGAACGAGGGGTCTGACAATGTTCTTTTAAAAAGCCAGATCACTTGCAAACCTCTCGCAGGCTTGCCATGCGTAAGGCTGTAGACTAACTCGCAGGCGATGAAGCGTTCGTCTCGTAGGGTTAATAATGATGGCGTTCTCGCAAGCTATTTCAAAAACTCTTTTCCTTCGGTTCTTTGACTCTAGTGCACATCAAAATTCGTCCAGTTCGTACGATGCACGTTTTAAATGTCTCCGATCATGACCAGATTTGGTAACGTAAACAAAGTGGATCGCTTTCAAACTTACAAGTTAGGGTTAATGTTGGGTTAGGGGAGGGGTAGGTGGGCAGTTGCCCAGATGCTGATCCACTTCATCATTACTTTTTGCTATAAAACTTCAATATCACCACTTATAGCATGCGTCTAATGCAAAGTTCGAAATTAATGAAACGGGTTCAGATAACTTGACTAACACAATTGTAAGTTCGACCATCTCATGAACCAATTCTATCAATTCTTCCTTTGAAGGATTCACATGGAATTGGAGACCAGTGCTCTGGTTAATATCAAAATTATTTGTAATTCTCTTTTAACCATTTCAGCGATTTTCTTTTATTTTTTGCTTAAAACTTTATTAATCATAGATGGTTTTTATTTGTCTAAAATTTTAATCAAGCAAAACATGCTGGAGAATCCGGGTATCGATCCCGGTACCTCCCGCATGCGAAGCGGGCGCTCTACCATTTGAGCTAATTCCCCACATACAGTTATCAAGGGCATGCAAATGAACATATTCGAGAAAAACAAAGAAAAATGTTTTCGTGTGTCTTGTTGCAAGCAAAGGACAAAGCAAATAATCTGTTTGTCCATGAG